GGGGGGTAGGAACTTGGGAACCGCCCCCCCTATGAAAAATTTCTGTATCCGCCACTGCCATGAGGACACCATACATATGCTGGAATGATTGCCAAGAGTGGAAGCCATTAGCGAGGAAAATGGCATACATTCAGAACACATTACACTAGTGCTTAATTGAAGCTTTGTGCTGTTCAACATCATGGTTGATGTTGAACCCATAATCCTTCTTGTGGTGTAGTAAACTACTTCATCAAGATTCAGAGTAATATTATGTATAGATGCTAAGATCCACACATCTGATTAGCTAAACAAATTTGATCACTCTGTAGTTTACTTTGAAATATAAATCAGACTGTGAAATTTGCATTTCCATTTCAAATACTTCCCTCCACTGCATTTGTATTTTGATTATTTGTATTTATTTGTATATATTTGCATTTTCATATTTGGATTGAGATGCCCTGTGAGGTGGCACACTGTGCTAATCGAACTCTCAACTTCCATATCACTGATATGAATTTGATCTTGACTTACCTACAATAGTACAATAAGCCATGGTTTACACAAAGTGAGAAAATAAATACTGTATTAGGTTATTATAATATTTTTTTTTAGCATTTGCTGAGCATTAAAAAAAAGTATGTGAGTGTTGCCATGTTGGCGATGGTACAGCAGCAGCAAACCTTTCACACAAACTTCTGCCTATGCCTAATGGTGGTTTATCAGTAGGTTGGTCTAGCAATGAGAATACCCTCCCTATTGAAATCAATCCAAGAGAAAGCCCTACACATGGTCAACAATTACTAAGATGAGCCTGGCCTGAGTCAAGTCATAAAGTTTACCAAGCACAAGCTATCTGAAAAATGAAGAGAGATTTTTTACATCCTTATATTTAAGAAGAAAAAAAAATTTCACAAGTGGCTAGTAAAAATCTATAATAAAAAAAAATCGATTCTTTGAAGTTTTTTGGCATTTGCAGAGTATTGGCAAGTATTATGTCAGTTAGAGTACTTTCAGTGCATCAAATGCACCAGAAGGAAGTGTTTTTTATTTGTAATGCCAATAAAATTCCAGCAAAGCATCTCACTTCAGACTTATTTGGAAAGCTAAGGAGAGTGAGATATTCTGAACTTAAATTGATAATTATCAACTTAGTGTCCCATTTCCTTGACCAGGCTATATATTTTAATTTTTTTGCTTATCCCACTTACCTTGCAGAGAGTTGTTGGATATTAAAATGTATATCTGCCATGTAGTACATGTTGTAACATGGTTTGACATCCCAGATATAGTAGATACAACTTAAACTACTGTTAGTGATTTTGCATTTTCAATGGTTGGAGAGGACTTTCATGGGCCAGAGGCATCTTAGCCCATATTGATATCCTGAGTCAGAGTTTGAGTGCTCATTCTACCCCTCCTTGGCAAGTATGAGTAAGCTTCTTGAACTCCTTAGTTCTTCAGGAGGTGGCAATGACTTTGCCATGAACAAGTACCAATCCACTCTGTTAGGTTCTCTGCATCACCAGCATGCAAAAGGAAACATCACTAACTGATCAGCAGGGATGCGGAATTCAGATCGGAGTTTTTCTGCAGCCTTGGAATCCCTGGTGAGGAGAAGTTGATGGACAACATCCTGAAGTGGAAGACAGGGATCCAGGGAAGATGAAGGAGAATTGATGAGGTGCTTCATGAGTCGAACATGGTCCTCAGTCAGGATGAACCAATTCTTTCCGGTCTCTCCCATCTTGCTACGCCTCAAACAGTCCACTGCTCCCATTAGCACTGCCAGCTGCTCATCGATTCGCTGCATATTCATTGCCCACCCCATTGTGTCAGAGCAATGGTGGGAAAAAAAAGCAAAAAGAAAATATGATCTGGAGGTGCATACAGGGGAAGAGTAGCTCTCACGAATGCGGGACAGGGCTTGACCCATGAAGTTGTCCTCTTGGATGAAGATGTCCATCAATGCATTCCACTTTTGCCTCTGCTGGCACTGCTTCATGTATAATGCTTGCGCTGCAGGGTAGTCCCTCACCAAGAGCTGCAAATTGATTATTTAAACAAGATGAAGGGATTGATAGGACAGGGAGAGGAAAAGAAAGTCTAAGGATGAAGAACCTGGAACTGTCCAAGTGGGAGATTCTTTTGGATCTCATGCAGGGAGAGATAGATGAGCTCTGGATCACCACTCACAACTGACTGCTGCAAGGCTTCCTGATACTGACCCAGCTGAAGAAGTGGGGGTACTTGCTTGCTGGCACTCCCTTCATAGCCCAATAACTGAGAACCAACACACATTTCCATAGATAAAATGTGTCACTAACTTTCATGCTACCCCTTTCAAGCTCACATTGAGTATATGTGACACTCTTTATGTATGCAAAACCAAAAAGTACCAAATATACAGTGCCCTGCCAGGTTAAAATGAACACTTCTGATGATTCAAAATGAACAAACTTTAACTTATTAATCCATGATCAAAAGGACCATATACTGTATATATGTATCAAGTAGCATTTATTTTGCCCACATGCAAAATATGTGGTACTTTGGATTGTAATTATATCACAGATTAGTAAATTAAAATTCATTCACTATCAGGGATGTTCATTTTATTCTAGCTTGTATATTAAAGTAGTCTTTCGCATGAGTGGTTGCTATTTTGAAACGACACTTGATAAATACAAGTGAATATCCAACAAGAGAGCAAACATGGGCTACCTCATAACAATATGACTGCTCTTTTCACACATAACCTCTTTACACCAAACAGGCAAAATTTCCATCCTGATGATTTTCTTCTTTGATAATCACCTCACTTGGTCATTAGCTTGTAGAAAAAACACACATGAATGATTTCAGCTGTCACTTAATGTAAGGAGTAACAATGGCTTCTTCAAGATTTGCCTAGTTTTCATCAAGGCATAATCCTGTGCTCTCATTTCTTCTATGGCCAGAAAAATATACTAGTCTTTCCAGTTTAGTTGCCCTTCATCTGGCTGCCCTCATTCCAGGACTTACATCGCCAAATTACTCTTCAAATTCCACATAGCAGACAAGACTTCTTTTGTCTCTTGTGACTTCCTTGTCCAAAACCTGAATCATAATGCTTGAACAATGCTATTATGGTGATTGACAAATATTAGGTATCTTGTGGGTTCCAGCAGTGGTGGTGTCAGTGGTTGAGGGTCCCAACATTAAGAACTGTTAGAATTATGCTCATACCTCAACCAGACTGCTTACTGCTACAAAGCCAGATATTACCCCATTTGATAGGGCTACAAGAGAGACCTTCATGATTACATTCTCCTGTCCATCTGATGGGAAATTAGTCATAAGGAGGGAGAGAAGAGGTGAAAATACGAAAACCTCCTCTTCGAGTCTTGGGACCAGTACCCAAACTACCACGTGCACTTGTCGATCCTGGTGGAAGGTTGCCTTGGCAGCATGAAGGATGCACCACTTGCTTAGTGGAGGTGGATGAAGATCCCAACCTGTAGTTCCGAGGCTTTCTCATCGGCCTGCTGCATGCACAAGGCTCCACTTCTGGACTCTATGCAGCTCTTCCATATCCAGTCTGAATATATAGGCCGAGTCACTAATCGCCTCTTAGAGGGTTGCGGCCAGTTTCTTTTTGTGTAACCTGTTACCCTCATGTGAAGGCCTGTACTATAGCCACGTGGGGAGGGTGTGATCAGGATGATGGAGGGTAGCCAGTACATTCCACCCATGACACCATGTGTTCACAAATGATGAAGGCTAATTGAACGAATTTAGGAATGTACCGTTTGTGTAGAGGCGAATTGCTGTCAGTGGTCCAAGTTTGAAGGTAAAACTTTTTCTTCTAAATATTTTCAAGAGGGGACATACATTGGGCATTGGAAGATCTGCAGTACTTCATAGCACAGCTTCTTGAGAGGATGCTAAATTTTAATAACACCTCTGTACTTACTCAGCTTCCCATAGCTTTTAAGAGATTTAAGAGCCGTGTTATATACTATATAGTATTATTGCAGCTGCATGGTGTGCCCAAAGTAACGCTTGAAAAAAAAAGGAGCTGTACCGCGATATCGGCTTGATGGATGCAAGAGATCGCCAACTCCCTGGGAGTGTATCGTGTGGATGCAATGTGCATATGATGCACCATCAGTTTGGTGGTAAAATTAGAAGTACGAAGTGTTGCAAGCGACATGCCTCGAAAGACAAATTAAAAAGTTTCTATAGTTGATTGGACTTTGAGATTCGAAGACGAAGAGCTGGAACTTGGTCACTTTAGTATGGAAGATCTATAGCAGTGGTTCAATCACATACAAGGCAAAGAAACTCTTCGCGATCGGGTCACCTCAGATTTCCTCAATAAATTCAACAAGTACGTTAAAGTTAAGAATTTCAATTCAGAAACTCAACTGAGAGACCCGAACTCGCTCGCTGGGCAAACACAGATCAAATCTACAATGTTGTCTCATGTTCTTAGAAATCTTTAACTTTTCAACTTGCGTATCGTACCGGAATGCCCTACACTTCCCGTCGACAAATTCTGCATGAACAACTGCAACTATTTCCTTACACCAATTTCATCTTCCAATGCCGTACCGTTCCTGAGATATGGTGCGCTGAAGTGCGAAACTTTATTTTTAATCACCTGTATATTCATGCCTACGATTTGACAAAATTAATATGAGCATAAAATATCCAGCACCTCCCGCGCAGCTGGTTTTGAACAGCTGTTGACTTCTCATTGAATATTGCAACGCGTAAGGACTTCGTTAGGCATGCTATTTTCAGCGTGACTGTACAGGGTGTCCACAAAGTCCTGTTACCCACTACGTTCTTTCCTTACAATGAGTTTTGCTTTTCTGTTGCAGGTGAGTCGTACATCCGCTCATTTGCCAGTTGTCATCGAGAAGCAACCACGAAGTCCGTATCTCTCCACGTACGACAACTCTCTTCTGGGATTTGCGAAGGAACAAGTTGTAAAACAGCGATATCAGACTACGAAGGAGCCGAAACAAGCTGTCAGAGATGCATTTCGCTTAGTCACTCCATCCACGTGATGTAAGATGTCACACCGATCTTCTGGACTTCTAAATGCAATTCTCTTCATAACGTGAAATAAACAACCGATGAAGAACTAGTTGGGTCTAATATGTTTACCCAACCCTGTTTTTAAGTCTTTAAATGTCCACTCGAGTACACTTTTCAAGCGCTACCTCTCGTACACTTCGTAAACACATGAAAGCTGCGGCACGAATTGCAATCCATGCCGCAGCCTCTACGTGTTCACGAATCTCTCTCACCAGTGAAAAGCCAAATGAATTTTCTATCGAGAGATGCTTTTGAAATTTTCGGAAACCCGAGAAGCCGTGTCGTGAAGCGTTACCTATCGCCGAAGCATTTTTCGGTCGAGCCTGTACATACCAGGAGCATCTTATATGCGTCCACGAAAGACGGTCATAACGCCTTCAAAGAAAGACTGCACTTTTATCAGTCTGAGTGAACCACTCAACAACGATTGCCTTTTAGCCATCGTTTTGTGACTGGATTAGTAGTCACAACAAAATATTCGTTCTTAACTCTTCGGAAAAACAGTGGACTACGCAGTGAAATCGGAAGGGAAAACCAGGCATTCAGGGTCTATTAAATGTCGATTCATTTTTGGATTCTATTTCTCGGACACGAGAATGTCATCTTTGCTTTCGCTCAGTTGCAAGAGCTCATGGAAAGCGGCTTATGAAATGCCAGACATACACAGGCTCTCGAGTTTGATTCAGGTGAGCAGTCGAATATTAAAGTGATGCCATGATGTGGAATTTGTTATCCAAGGGAAATCGTGTTCTCCCCTGAAAGGCGCAGTGGCAAAAAGGAGCGAGGGGGATGCAAGAAGTGAAGAAAGGAATGACGTGTACGAGGACATACTCGTACAGGGTGGGCAAAAAAAAAAGATACCTGTTTTCAAAGATTCATATCTCCTAAACTAATAACGCAACGGTGACGAAAAAAATACAAAAATAAAGTACATTCAACTCTCTTTATAATGATATGGTGGTTTTAGCCAAACGGATAATTATTATTGCCATAATTAGCGTTTCAAAAAAATTGCCCCCGAAAAAAACTTGCACAAAAAGAAAGTTGCCTGGATTCATCGCCTCCTCTGCTGTTTATTTTTTTGTTTCTCGTTACTGCACAGCATTCTCATACTGAAAACATTCAACTTCATCTGTCTCTTATCGTTCCCTCACCATCCCTCCCCCAGCCCGCCGCTCGCGGGCAAGCAGGACCACCGGATCAGATTTTAAATAAGAGTTCTTTGTCCAGCACCAGCAGTTTGACCTTTTTTTTTATCAGCATCCTGATTATTCATGACCGACTGCAGTTCTTCTTTATTATTTGAGATTCATTATTTAAATTTATTAATTATTCTAGGGCCTTTTCAAATGGTTTTGAGTGAAAGTGATAAATGCCTGATCCAGGCGCTCCGTGAAGAAAAACTCTATTCACAGAACAAAATTGCTGCTGAATATCCTGCTCGGAATTGGAAAAAACCAACCGTTGCAGCTTTTTACGGAAACTTCGTGACCATGGTAGTGGAAAGCGTCTTGCTGGAAGTGGACGTCCCAAGAGTGCAAGAACTCAAGAAAACATTCAAAGTGTTGGTGAATTAATCTGCAGTCAAGAAAGGCATCCAGGGACGAGTCTGAGTGTGCGGCGCATTGTGAAAGAAACGGGAATAAAACGTGGTTCGGTGCGGAACATCATTAAAAAAAGACTTGAAGCTGAAAACCTTCAAGCGAGTTCCCGTGCAGGAATTGTCTGAGCGAGTACGAAAAAATCGCTTGGATCGCTGCAGAAAACTTCTCGACCGTTTTCCCTCGGCAAGCAAAATCTGGTTCTCAGATGAGAAGCGATTCACTGTTGAGAGGCCTCGCAATACCCAAAATGATCGTGTCTATGCAGCTGTGGCCAGGAAGGATGCTGTCTCCCCTGTGCGACTACTGCGTGAGAGAGCTCATTTCTCGGACTCTGTTATGGTATCTTTGGCTGTTTCTTCGACGGGAAAAACAAGAATTTATTTCATCGATCGTGGAGTTAAAATCAACACGCAAAGCTATTGCAGTGACCTTCTGTCTGCAATGTTGCCAGAAATTGAAGATCAAATGTCCGACTACACCTTCATGCAAGATGGAGCTCCTGCTCACACAGCTAAAGCTACCATTAACTTTCTTCGGGAAAATTGTGCGGACTTCATTGAGCCAGACAGCTGGCCACCCAACAGTCCCGATCTGAATCCTGTGGATTATTTCGTGTGGTCTGCTTTAGAAGAAAAAGTGTACCGAGGACAGAGAATTCGTACGATTGCGCAGTTGAAGGAACGAATTTTGGCCGCGTGGGAAGAAGTTAACCAAGCCTTAATTGCGAAAGCTAATGGTAAATGGCGAGGACGATTGCGGGCTGTTTTACTGCAAAGTGGTGGCCATATTGAACCATTTGTGGCTAGATGAACTGGGAAGTGAATTTTTATCATGCAGGACAACGCGCCCTTACGGAAAAATCCTATAGGATCATATAAGATTTTTGAAACATGAAAATCTTATAGGAATCCTATAGGGTTCTTTTAGGATCCTATATGCCACAACGTGGCGTGAAAAAGGCGAGAGAGAAAAATGCAGCGAGCACAGATGCGATCTCTGACAATAGTGGATGGAGCGATTCTAGGTTAACTGTTCGAAAAAGCAATTTTTCGAACAGCGAATTTTTCGAATTACAAATTTTTCGAAATCACTCCACACAAATTTTTTTTTTTTAGCCGGATCATTTGTATCCAATGTTGTGTGCAACTCCACGTAAGTAGTCACATGTTTATATTTTGATCCCAACCGCCAACAACCCGCCTCAACCTTTCTGCACAGTCCCGATATTTCTTTCGCTGACGAGGTGGTTCCTGGCCTCTGGTATACTGCTCTATGCGTACCTCATTCAGGCTCTGCTCCTTCTTGACTCCAGAAATGAACTTCCAAATATTGGGATGGCTTGCATAGATCTGTTGCTGAAATCCTAACTAACTAACTAACTAACAACGACATCCTTCGATGTCGTTGTTAGTTTTGGGCAGCCCCTGAAGCACGCCATCGTAGCAGTTCCACATTCCATGCGCAAAAATTGGAGGACGGCGACCCTGATGACGGCCTGGGGCCTACTTCATGGAATTTACAAGTGTTACATGTTACTAGTAATTACAAGGGTCGTGTCGTAGTTGTACGAGGGGCCAGCGGGATCAGATGGAAGAGTGAAACGAGGAGACACGACCCTTGCGAGTACTTGTAACTTGTAGAGCTTGTAAATTCCATGGAAAAGGCCCTGGACGTCCAATCCATGTGTCCTCGAATTAATTTAGGACTGGGTGTGCTTCTTAGGGCAAAACTTTGCTGTCGCACAGAGCATCGAAAGTGTCAACAACTTCTGCAGTTGGAACAAAAGCCAGAGCGGGAAGCATGCGAAGCTTTAAAGCAAAATCGGCATCATTCCCATACCGTTTTTTCAAGCCGTTTGTATTCTCCGCAAAATACACTGGCAAAAATGAAAAAAACAGCCACGATGAATTACAAGTGGGTACTCTCTGTTGACCGCGTTTATCATTGACATCTCAAAGTCAGTCATAATAGTCCGAGGATCAGCAGCGGGCTCTAACTCCATCACCTTCCTCAACAGACGGGCGTACGTTTCTTTCCTCTTGTCCCCCAGAAGTGCAAACATCAGAGGCACGGAGTTGTTGGCTTCCATTCCATGAATGGTATACAGCAGCTCAAATTGCGGCGGAACGGTCTTAAATGTGCCGTCGGCATACCAGTGCTCGGAACGTCCAAGAAGCTGCAAGTTTCTGAGTAGAAAATATGAGTATGCGGTCGTCTTGAGGTCCAGAGTCGTACAGTAGGAACTCTTCTCCTCTTTCAGTTTGCTTGTACTCCTCAGGAAACATGACATCACGACGGAAAATCGGGACAGCTGGTCCGACATTTTCTTATTGTTCGTTTCATGTTCGACACGCTAGGTAGTATTGCTGCAGCACCTTAACTGGCTCCAATCGACGTGGAAGGCACAATATAGGTTGATGTATCGCGAGTGCTTCTTGCCGTATCACGGATGGCTGCCATTACCTTCTCTGCTTCCATGTGAACAGCCTCCCCTACATTATTATTTTCACTCCTCTTATTCGAAACACCGTCAGCATCCGTTATAACTCGGGCTCCGCACTTTATACCTCGAAATCTTTCGCACTTCCAATAAACCCTTTCCTGCACTTGCATGTCTTTGTAATATAAATGACCGTCAATGAGCAGTTTACGTCTTCCTTTCTCACTACTCACAAACTTCAACGCCATACCGACACCCTTACACTCACACAGTAAGATTACAACTGAGGTGAGGGAAGAAGCAGGACCCTCGTCATACATTCCAGGAGATTTCCAAGAGTTTCTGGAACGGCGGGGATTCAGGTCATTAATTATCGAGATGTCATGCTTCCCAGGATAGCCTGGTTCAACCAAACCTGTCAACTCGGGGATTAAAGGTTATCTGGGATTGAGAATCTAGCTGTTTCGACTGAGGGAGATTTTCCAGGATTCTAGCTATTTGGATGCATTCTGTCCCAGTCCAATAGGCTGCACCACAGTGCACTTTAACATGATTGAAGATGAATGACATTACATGTTTTTGCGAGCGATATACTTGGCAATTTGCAGTGAGAATCTGGATGGTCGAAAACCGTGATGCGGTAGAAGCAGCTGTCGTTCAGTTTTTATCGATGGGGGCGGCAAAATCCGCCGGTGTCAGGCAAAAGAGTGGCCCGACTATACATCTCTGCAGTGTTGACTAGCGTGCCAGACGAGCTACTCATTCCTGTACTTTGTACTGAATCGCCCAGTAGAAGGAGAACTTTATAAAATAAATTTTGTTATTTGAAAATAATATTATTGCTCGCAAAATTTCGATTTCGAAAAACTGTTCGAAAAATTCGCTGTTCGAAAAAGGTGTAATTCGAGAAACTCTTGGTTCAAGATTTTGAATTCGAAAAATTTATTTTCGAACAGCTTGCCGGTTCCCGGATGGAATAAAATCCATCAACTGAGTTCATCGACGCCAGCATACAGCAGCGGACACCGCGCCTTCGAGCCCAAGTGAAAGCGGCGGCGGCAATTTTCAACACAAGTTCTCAAATTGCTGCCACGGGGGCTACAATCGTTCAACATGGATGGAAATCTGCTTGTGTGTAGCAAAGTATATCCTCTTTCCATCGGTATGCAACAATACCTACTTTTAGTCTAATGCTAACAGCAAAAAAAAAAATTTTTTTTCAGGGTACCTTTTCTTTTTTCATCACCGCGTAGCGGCCATCTCTCACTCAATCCTCGCGGTAGGCCTACATACTGTACATTATTTCATTCGGTACCCTTACTTTCCTCCTGCTTTTCGTCAGATTCAGCAGGTAGAGAAGCATAAGTAGTACCCACCATAAACACCTCCATTTCGTTTCCCCAAACCAACCCACACTGACCTTGATGGCAAGATCCTTGGAATTGGACTCCAGAGCCTTCTGGGCGAGGAACGCATAAGAAATACGAGGGTTCACTCCAAGTTTCCTAGCTATTTTGTGAGCTATCTCTTTGCTGCTCTCCTTCCTCCCCTCCACCTTTTTTTGGAACGGAGATACAAAGATACAGAGAAGTGCAGGACAAGCAGAAAGCGGCACGAGGAGCGGGGATCCAACCTGTCTGAGGGTCCAATGACGGAGAATACGGTCTTCCCCATCGGTCGGTGGTATGCGGAGGTATTTCGAAATGCGGATGGCTAAGAGATATTTCCTCCTCATCACCAGCCGATCCACGACGACTTGAGTCCCGAGAGTCTGGTATCTACCGTTCGACATGGGAGAAAGAAGAAAAGAAAGGTACATACATATAAAAGCAGTGAATTCCTCATTGGGGAAGCACGACAAGGATTTCCAGAACGAAAGAGAGAGAGAGAAAAAAAGGTAATAACTGCGTGTAAGTGAGAGGGATGGCAAGAGAGGTGTGTCTCAATGCTGCTAAGATGCGCAGTGCCTGACACGTCTCCACGAAATGGGAAGGGTTCTGTCGACTCAGGTATCCCCTCCCGAGGTTTCCTGCCTGCAACCCGATCGATGCCAGTTTCATTAGAAATAAACTTCAAATAATGAATGGTACACTTAGAGGCATATAAATACCAAAAGGTTGGTTGCGTATTAGAAATGAAAATATAAAAAAAAGCAATATAGCAAAAAAAAAGCGTGGTAGTGCATCACAAATTCCTGCCTGTAAGCCAAAATCCCATAGATGTAACAATAAATCTGGAATTTTAATTTCATATTTATAATAGTTGCTAAATAATAGAATTATACAAAACATTAGGGACGTAGAAAGGGGGTGTCAAAGGGATTTTGACACCTCCCGAAGCGGGCAATTTTTCACGAAATAAGCCACGGAGTAAACAAGAATTCGCAGTTCCTTTTCTTCTTGAAGGGTGGAGGGAATTGTGTCCCACCTGAGATGACACGACAAGGGATGATTCTCGCAAGGACTTCCAGTCCGGCTAGTTATGACACAAGAACCTTCTATGCAGGCACAGGCTTCCGTTCGCTCTGCAATATTTACGGTAGCTTTACGATTTAACATTCTTAAAGGAAACTCGCATTTGTTCAATCTTCCTTTGAGTTTCGTCCATGCCAAACTTTGTCGTACAGCTTTCCGTAGCTTCGGAGAATTTTCAGCAAACTCTATTGAGTATCGACTTTCCCAACAGTTATGGTTTGACCGACATGAAACACTTACAAGCCAAGTTATGATACTAGGCCTACCTAAGCCAAATCTCAAAGGTGAACTCTTGGTTTCCAAGAAGTATTCGCACTATTGATTTTCTGCAACAAAAAGGGTGAAATCAATTTCCTCACTTTCGTTCTGACGCGATGCGGGATAATAATAATATTAATAATAATAATTAAAAAAAAAAAACTTTTTTTTTTAAGTCCTCAGAATGAAAAAGGGCGAAGAAACTTTCGGAATTTTCATCCTTCTCAGTAGACCGCACTTCACCGCTAGCTCTTTCATATGAGCCAGAAGAAAAAGAACACGCAGGACACCCCGAAGAGTACTTGGCTATGTCCCTGCAGAACATGCCATCGCTTCACGCTTCACGTCCAGAAGTGTGGACAGACTTACTAGAGCTGCCAAGAGCCCAACAACATTTTTCATGCGTTTCAAAGCAAACTAGCCGAGTGTGAGTTTCATGGTGAAACGCATTTTGACCCAAATTCAGTCTCTAAAAATTGTGGATCCCAAGGAAAAAACACTTGTTGCTCATTGCTCCTTCCCTCTGCTCCATGGCCAATCAGGCAGCATGTATCTTTCACCTTAAGACCTTTGTTGGTCAGGAACTCGCACATGGCATGACGGGCACATCTCCAGTCAAGTTAAAGGGCTCAAATGAGGGTCCTTAATGAGGGTCGTTTATTGCCTCTTGGAATGTGGTTCTCAACAGGGGGTCAGGGGGGTCGGAGGTGAATGGCAAGGTAGGGCCTTCTTCGGATTCTCTTCGCTCCAGGGCATAGCGTTCAATTAGGGTTACCCCCGTTCATCACCTTCCACCTTTCCCCACTTATGCTGAGCTACCACACCGGAGGCGATTAGAGAGGGCCTCTATCCATGGCTTAATCACTTTTATGCATGCAATACTCCTCATACCATGCGCTCGTTTGTTTTGGAGTCGTTTAAGTCCTTCCCTCCCTATGAAGTGGAAATTTCATGAACTTAGTTCAGGAATACAAGCGTTCCAGTGGGAGGTAATGGTTTAGAGGGGATATAAAATGTTGAATACAGATGATATTCCAGTAAAAAGTCTAATATTTAAATGGCTGAATTTTCACAATGAAACAAAAAACAAAATTAACATGGTTTAAACTCATCAGTAATCTAATTCTTTGTTTATCGCTTAGTAGTCGTAAGCCCTCATCAGTTTGTAGTCCGACGGTTGACATTCGACACATTATAAACATACGTGTCTGAACATCTCGGTTGGCATGACGAGCTAACGGAAGAAGAAGGTGGTGTCTTTATTATAATAGTTGACATTTGTGTGTCAGACCGTCTGCCCACCGGAGAACCGCACTGGCCGATTTTTTAAAACTCGACTCCAGCTAAAGCCTTGGCTTCAGAAGCACGATCTTTTTTACTCTTCCAGCAAAGGGCCCAATGTTCGGGAGGAAGTTTCCCTCCTCCCCCTCTTCCCCCCCAGGGCAAATCATGAAGCGCCAGGGGCAAGCTTCCCTCCGGGAAGTCTCTTAACAATAGCAAGAGTCCGAGGGTCACAGGCCCTAGCTCGCCCCTTCCCGGTTGCCTGTCCCCTCCCCCGGGCATGTTACGCTTATTCATTCGACTCCGGATATCGGGATATTCATAGGACCAGCGAACTTTATTCTATAATCCGGAATATTCCAATAATCGACATTATATGCCGTATCGTACCGTAAATCGGGACCGTGCAATGGCATTCCATTATGCGGAGTTGACTGTACCGTCTAAACCAAGGTTGTCAAATCAGGCAATTTTGGGCAAGGGCATCATCGTGCCATTGACAATAGCACCTTGACGGTTGGCATCACAAAGCAATGAATAATTCCTGGATTCCTAAAAATGACTTTTATTACGTGTTTAGAAGGTTCTGTTATACGTGAGAACTTGTTATGCTACAGTTCCGTTACCAGAATTATTGCTGTTTTTTTTTATCCAATCGCAACATTTTCTCGCATAATGTTGTGATTACTTCACAGAACCATCTGGCAACTCTGGTCTCTTCCTTAACACGTCCCCTTCTGCCTTCTTCACTCACCCATTCCATTCAAGGACGTTCAAACCGTCATCTATATCCCTAATCCCAATGAGGCCTTCTCATTTGTGCAGGAAAATTAGAATATAATAATCCATGGCGCATCAAGTACTGCAGATACACGATCAACTTTTACTAAATGATTTTCAAGCTGTGAATCTATTGTTACAATAATTTCCTAGGTACCAGATAGGCGATTAGCTAATAGCGGTGAAAGTTAATGGGAATACATTATGAAATTCTTAAATTACAGAATGGATTGCAAGACCGTTTGCTCAACCAGACCAGGGGTCGGCAATATTTTACTAATAGCGAGCTGGCATTACAAGGTTCGGCCCTATGGCGGGCCGGAGTGTATAATTGATTGTGGTGGTGATCTGCCCAGAGGAGGGAATATGAGGTTTGGGAAAGAATAAATGAAATATAAAATAAATTTCGCAAGTCATAGGTTGCCGATCTCTAAACAAGACCATTTAAAACCCAAACGCTGGAACTTGAATGGCCCCCGACAGTAGGTCAGAGAGAGATGGGGCAGGTGATAAGGGGGCTCGCTCAGCAGGGATCCTTGCTTAATTGGGGGGGAAGTAACCCCGTCCTAACAAAAGGTTGGTGGGGTTGGGAATGATTGGGATGTGCCCGTCATGGGTTTCTCAGGTATTCATATCAAACCAGTCAATGAAAGAACAGATGACACGAACGGAAATATACTATGTCAACATTTTGGGCTACATGGGAGCATTACCGTTTGTAAGAGATTCATGCCCTATCAAAAGTAATGAAGATTGAGACGTTCAACATCCAGCCAACTTGAGTTGGCTGGATGTTGAACGTAGGTAAAATGTAACGTGCCTTATGGGCTCTACGCCGGGACCTTGCGCTTTCGTCGTTATAACCGAGGTCGTTATAACCGAGTTCGACAGTATTCTTGAAAGTAACACATTATTACTGGTTCACAGAGCTTCATATAAATATTTTTTCACTATCAAGCAAAGGATGAAAGCGTTTGACGGTCGAGTTTAGTAGGCATCTTCTAGCCTATGAAGAATAACTCGACCACCAACGTTCGAGTATCGTAGTAACACGAGCTTGGTGCGGTTAGAGTCGAACGGCCGCGAAATTTCGCATCTTGGAAGGAATTCGACTCCAGATGCTACAAAACATATCTACAACCATTAGAATTGCTTGAGAAGGCATTTGGGCAACAATCGTGAAGCACACCAGGATAAAAAAATTCAAGGTACCTACTCCATAACCTCAACCTAATTATGATACATGGCACACAATTTTCGGTACTGGAATGATCCCATTCATTGTCTCAATCACAGAACTGCACGGTCGCCCAGAACCTTTAATGGGTTTTATCTGTCATACATTGAGGTAAAAAAAAAGAGAGCATGAGATGTGCCGCACAGGGTGCGTAGGATGACTAAATAATGAAAAATTTTCCGTGGGTTCGACTCAACCCTCACCCTGATGAAAGCGTCCGGGTTTCGCCGCTTTACTCTACCTCACTTAAGGTGGTATGACCCACCTCTAAGCACCTTCAATTCACCTCTAAATGGGCATTGCACGACTTAGGCAGGGGTGCTAAAACAAAGCTGACATCTGAACACCTCGTAACCGTCCAATGTCGATCGCATAGCCAACGTATAATTTATTTTTGCATTTATGAAACTGTGTTTCTCCCATAGAAAACGGTGGAGCGTTATTTAAATTTTAAATCACCCTATATTTCTGAGTTAGAAATGAGGTCATTTTGACCATTCAATGAACTCTGAACACATGTAACTACCCAGCAGGAAGCAGCTGAGTGACCACCCTTCCAGCCATCAATTACCATCCATCCAGTTCTATTGCAAAAAAAAGGATCATTGTGCTATTCAGAATTCAAGTCAAACTTTAATTCAAATACCCTATGTATATAGGAGTCTAGGAATGTTTGGGCTAGTTGGACTTGGTCTAAAGTGAAGTTGAAACCATTCTTCAGCTAACGATAATACTCTGGAAATGAAATGTTGACATAATACCTGTATCGTTAGCTGGGGTCCCCCCAAGAGTATGCAATAAGCTTTCCTTCACATAAACACCAACTATTGGAATTTCCTTCAGAAAGCACCTGAATTCTGGTTGTTGACATTTTAAGACAGGGAAGGACATGGATAAGACTAACTTTGAGGAGGAGTTTTTGAATGGATACATCAAACTCAAAAGCAGCTGCCTGAATGCACTGCTCCACTGCCTTTGGCAGGTTCTCCTCCACCATGCGGATGTACTCTTCGGACCTATGTCCTGTATTCTGAAAAAAAGAAGAAATGTCTCCAATGATTTCATGAACCAGAGTCAAGTGGATCCTTCATTGAGGAGACACGCATTCTTGCCTATTGTTTTACATTTCTTTGAAATAACAAACAAGATGTAATACATAGGTCACTCTGAAAGTTTTGAGATGTGAGGAATCTATTTGAATGACATCAATGATGCATGTATGTATTGTACCTCATATATCATGAGTAAGCCGTGCAATTTTCAAATTGCCACAATGCGTTCTTTAGAAGTTACATCGTTTTATACCGACTCAGATGTTGTTGGGACTTAAACCACTTTTAAAATCCTAAAATTCCAACTAAAATGGATTTTAGTTGCAATGGAGCTTAATAGAGAACATTATCATGCAATGATTTTTACGATTTTAAAAGTGGTTTAAGTCCCAACAACAACTGAGTCAGTATCTAATATATATAGACGATCGTGACTGACTGACTGACTGACGCTAATTCTAACCATGTTCTAGAAGGGTTAGAAATCTGAAACTTGGTACACATGTACCTTTTGGGATGCAGAGTTCAGAAAAAATCCGACTTTGGAGGTACATGCCCTGGGGGTACAAATCTTGGGGGGAAACGTTTTCCTTTTAATATATTTTGTGACAGATGAGGAGGGCATTCAGAGAGTCAACTGGATGTGCTGGGTTCGGTGGTGTAGTAGTAGCATCTCTGACTGGCAATCATCAGATCCGGGTCCGATTCCTGGCCATTTCTTGGCTTTCTTTTGGCTTTTTTTGCCTTCCATGTCCCGTTAATCATTCCTCCACCATAACATTATTTTTGCTAGAGTAAAACGGAGAGACATGTAAAGCTGAAACTTGCCATGGACGCGCCTACCGAGACGATGAGTTCAGGAAAAATGTAAAATTTTAGATTCATGCCCTGGGGGCATATTTCTGCGAGCCGACGTTTTCAATTATTTATTTTTGTCCTGGCGTATTGAGCTAGTGTGGAAAGATGAAACTTGGTACATAACTACCTATTGGGATGGTGCAGAAAAATTCAGACTTTGGAAGTAAATGCCCTGGGGGCACAAGTTTCAAAAGGATATGTTTTCAAGTAATTTTTTTGCATCAGTTAAACTGATGAACATGGAAAGCTGAAACTTTGCATGAATGTGACTACTGAGACAAAGAGTTAAATAAAAATGTTAAGTCTTGATACATCCCCAGGGGAATTTTTTCGAGGTGCGATGTTTTGAAAAAAAAAATAGTTGTGGCGAATTGGACAGAAATGGAAAGGTGAAACTTGGCACACGTATAAGTGACATGATATTACTGAGCTGAGGGAGTATTCAGCTTTCATGGGGCATCCCCTCCGGGCATAGCTTTTGGGTGCGTCGGCTTTTTCAATCATGTTTTTTCGCAGGCGAAAAGGGCAAACGTATAATATTGAAACTTTGTGGGCATGTAGTTCACTGGGCAGACATAGAAAAGTAGCTGGCGCACGCATCACTGACGTGATGTTGATTTAAGGAAAAATTCAACTTTTTTATACGTTTCCTCAGAGCAGAGCTTTTGGGTGGGTCGCTTTTCCAAATACATTTTTTCCTCCAGCAAAAAGGGGAAACGTATAAGGCTGAAACTAGGGGGCATGGAGTTCCCTGAGTCTACATTTCAGAAGAAAGAAAAATTTTCTTTAAAACCCATTAGGGCACTTTTTTCAGTCCCATTTTCCTGATTTTTTTTTTTGATCCAACGAAACAGAGACAGAAAATTTAAACTTCCCTCAGAAGTACCTGTTTGATGGCTGAGTACAGGAAAAATCGTAATTTTGAAATATGTCTCCTTAGCGTAGATTATTGGAGGGAAGTATTTCAAAATGTATTCTCCACCCTTACAAAAAGGGACACAAGAAAAGATTTCAAGTTAGGCACACACAGAATCATAGAGGTAATGATTTTGGTTGATAAAAATCAAGACTTTCCACCCCATATGTCGCGTATTTCAATTGGGAAGTACTTTAAAGACGTGTTTCTCATTTCGCAAAAAAATGAATTACTTAATCACTATCCAAGGTAATAGAGCGCCGAAGGCGCGACCATAGCGAGTTTGTTAGTAAAACAATGTAACTTCTAAAGAACGCATCGTGGCAATTTGAAAATTGCACGGCTTACTCATGATATATGAGGTACAATACATACATGCATCATTGATGTCATTCAAATAGATTCCTCGCATCTCAAAACTTTCAGAGTGAACCTCGTAAATGCATGAAAGTGAAAAATATAACTTCAGAGATGGCTAACAGTAGAGAGCAGCTTTTTCAGTAATATTGATAGAAAATGCAAACATGGATGAGTCTATTGCTTAAGCAGCATAGAGTGCCATTACTTCCCCCAGGACTGTAAAAATGGAATGTCAAGTTACAGTATACAGAGCATATGTAAATGGGAATGCAGTCTAGGATATTCAATTGATCAAACTTCCCTCCAGAATGCATTCAGCCGTTTGTAGCAACTTTCTTGTCTGTGTGCATCCAATCCAGTTTGAGTGATAAAAAAAAAACTACCAATCGTGATTCAGGGGAAATATCTCAACTGATCAACTGGGCCAATGTATTTATGTGAAAGCATAATTTTCCTAGACTCTATTGTCCATATGGATCTTTGTCAGATTCATGTTCACTCCTCCATCTAAATTGAAATGTTAGCATTCTAAATTAATAACCATATACTATGGATTTTAGCACATTCTAGATTCCTTGAATTATATAGTCATTGTCATCAACAGTGTATAATCATCAACAGTGAATCTCCTGCTCAAACCTGTGGGAAAAAAAAGCTCATTTAATCTCTTTCTACCTACACGTATGAAAAAAGGTCTTCTAAATAAGGCACAGACATGCATTACTTTGCCCCTTGAAATAGTGAGCCTCTTAGACCCTCCTGGTCAGATTTGACACTGGCAAAATTACGGTTTCAGAATGCTGTCCGCCACATATTAGCATGTAAACATGAGAAAGGGCAACACATGTTCCAATCTAATACATAAGGATAGGCTCAACATTAAACTTTTGCATTCTACCCAAACATGAATTGCAACCATCTTTCTTTCCCATGCCTGCATCTATTCCTCATAACCGTCTCATAATGTGTACTATTAGTCTATGCTACACACTTACTTGTGTCATGGTTTCTGACCCTTTCATCCAATATGCCTGGCATGGGTATTGTGGATATGTATCTGTATCAAGGGTCACATAAACTCACAATACAGATATACTCTTTTTTTTTTTGCTACAGACTTCAACTTGACACATTTGGACAGCAGATCTCAACACAAATTTTCAATAAAAATTTTCCTTAATAGTAAACATTTTGAATAAAGGTGACCCTTCATAAAATATGAAACAGTTTGACTTAGATGCAAATCCAGTCCTGCAATGTGATGCTGCCTGAATGTGATGGAGTGGGGGGAAAAGGCAAGACACCCACTAATAAACATAAAAGAAATAAAAAAAGTGACCTGAAATTCCCGGGAAGCATCCAACAGTACAGCAGCAGGGGCAATAGACCCAATCTTGAAGACTTCCACTGTGACATCTGGAACCTTTTGCAGGAGTTCATGGGTGAAGTCACCCAAAATTCTTAGACAGTCAATCTCAGGGATCAATAACACATGAGACTCACATGGGAATCTGCACAAGTAAAAAAAACATAGCAAGTTGAGAAGGGCCAAATATTGGGTTTTTCTTAAAAAAAAAATGGCAGGCATCACTGAAAAAAATGCAACAACATTTTTATTCTTGACTCCTTTACATCTTTCTAACATTTTGCTTGTGAGAATCTGAATTATCTGAAAAAAAAACTAAGAGGAACAGTGCTATTGTATTGCTTGGAAGGAGAGCTAATGTTAGTTTGGGGGTCAGAGGAAAAAGAGCATATCTGACATCTGTGACAAATAAATAATTTGGAATGAGCTATGGTCAGTAGAACTGACCATAGCTAAACAAAACAGCCTGACATTCAAGAGATATGCTGCATCTTATCACAATGGTAGTTGAGACTGTCTTTACTTCCAGTAGGATACAACAAAATAAATTGAATACATCAGCCAAAATGGGCCTTTATAAAGCAAAGTACTTTCCCATGGAATGGCCTGAATGCTGAAACCTCATTCAGCCAAGATAAAGAGGCCTTCAAGCCAAAGAGCTCTCTTTCCCCTGAAGGAGTCTAGGAATTCTTAATGGATCATTAACTAGAGGAGATTTCAGCATTCTGGTCAAAGTTTCGCTGGGACACTTACCCCTAGTTTACTTTAATTATACTTTTTTGACATGTAGTTTTTGAGACTGCATGCTTCAAAAACAAGAGAGATCAAAAGCAAAAAAAAAAAAGTGTTCACTTCAGTTTTCATATTTTGCATCCTTCAAGGGAAAAACCAGTATTCTTTAATGTAATTCTAGATGGGCACAAGGCTAGAAAGATATGGAAATTCTTTATATGTGGCATGTTTGCAAGAAATACCAGATGAATAATTAAAAATGCATCTCTCTCTGATATTCTGCGGTATTTATGGGACAGGATATAGCAAAGCTTTTTTTTAATAACTTCTTTCTATCCTCTGAATATATCAGTTATTAATATTTTATTTCTCATCCATTTTGTAACAATACCAATACTTGAAAAGCAATGAATTTTTATTTTTCCAAGAGGACAAGTATTGACAGGAAAGTAATTGGTGTGTATTTTCCACTGGCTTCAGGTCATGCTCCTTAGTCCATCTGTGAAAAAGATGTTTTCCATGTAAGACGAAGCAGTGAATACATCCTGTTGTTTTGAGAAAGGATAGAGTGAGGCAAAAACAATAATTTATTGAAAATTATAAAAGATCTATTAGAAATACTAACATATCAATTCCCAAGAAGCAAGAAACTGGGAAATCTGAGTAAAAGAGGAGTGATAGCCAAAAATTTGTTGAAACTGAAGAAAACTGCA